TCTCTTGGCCCTTCACTTCTCTGTAAACTCTGATTATTTCCACTTAACTTGAAAATAGCCTGCATACTAATTGCACTTAAAGTAAGAAGAACATGGGACTAGGTAATTATGTGTTGGAGCTACTGATACTTACAAATTAAAATGCACTAAGACAAACCAGTACAAAATACTTAGAAATTAGCTTACCAAACTAGTATTTCAGAGTTGCATGTACTAGAGCAGGAATAGGCAAATATTAAGTACTTGGAAGTTTGTTTTAGCTATAGTAACTTACATTTAAGTGTATTTTATATGCTGACTCCAACACATAATTACCTAAAGTGTAGCGAATAAACTCCTGGGCAAAGAATCGCTCCGAGTTCAGTGGAAGCCTTCTACCTTTGTCCAGTTGAGAATGACCCAGGACTTGGCGGAGCTAACGCTCATCTTGGGTTCATCATATTGAGTTGTGAGTCAGCCCAGTACTCTGAAGTCCTGATGATACCAGAAAATACTCTGTGGCTCCCAAACTTCCTCTTCTCTATGACTATACCTAAAAACCCTCTCCATGAACATCAAAGGGTTGGGTCAAGAAGCAGTGAAGTCCACCTTTAACTGGAATCTCATGAAATATAGCGGTGAAGACCACCAAGTCAATGGTTATCATATGCAACTTTTAAATTTGCCATGGTTTGGGGAAGAATGACACATTTTAATAGCAAAAAAGTTAAAAAAATAAATAAATAAAATGGTGCACAGAATGAGGTCAAAACAACAAAATCATGAACATCTTCTCCAGCGTACAACCCCCCCCCCCCCCCCCCACTGACATTTCTGCTGGTTTGAAGCGTTCTGCAGAACAAAAACGAAGGCTGTAAGGGTGAGCACAGTGTGTTTACAATGAAAACGGGTTGAAAATGTGCAAAACTGACAGAAGCATCAACAAAGGAAACTAGTTCCTCAGTGAAGCTGGATGAATCCCAAACAGTTTCATCCTGGTCGGGGATGCAGAGCAGAGTGCCAGTCCATTACAGAGCCAGAATATTAAGCTTAAGCTTATGTCTTTCTTTAGTAAACCGTCGGCAAAGAAAATGCAACCCTTTCATGTTATAGATCTCCACTGGGAGCACTAACAGATGGTTACTGTATATTAAAGTTCTTTAACGTGTAAGACCAAACTGTTTTGTGAGCTGAATGAGTGTTCAACATAAATGTGTTTATAGAAACAAAAGAACAAAGGCTGATGAGATTCTGCTGCAGTTATTGCATTTAAACCCATGAAACAGAAACAAAACATCAGCACCATGACTGAGATCTAAATAAAGATTTGAAAGTCAGTAGGAAGCTTTTGAAAATGAAAGTGAGTGGAAATGGAAGACACGATTTATTTATAACCGTACATTGCTGCAAGTGGCAGCACAATTATGCAGCTGATTTCAACTCTGTGAAAACAGAAGACTCAGTCTGCAATTTAATCTGTTTATGATTTTTATTCCATGAATTATGTTAACCTTATGGATGTTTATACATCAGAGACCTTGAATCTTTCCATTTAACATGTTTGCATCATGACTGTGTGAGTGCATGCATGTCTTCTGCTCATTTTAATCCCACTCACTGATGCCTACATTGTAACACCTGATAACTACGTACATTTGCTAATGTAAAATGTTAGTTTATTTCCTGGTAAGATATTTTTTTTATTTAGAGTTTTTTATTTTTAAAAATGAGACGTCTACAATCTAAATAATCCATCGCTTTTTGGCTGTTTTTGTAAAACCTAATTATGAATAAATTCACTGAAAAACACCAGCTATGTGTGTGTATAGCGGTTTAAATTATATTGACCATTTCAAAATGCCTAACGTTAAAAGTCCAACCACTTTTTCTTCTGCAAAAAGAAAACATCGCAATGCTCGACATATTTAGAAACTTTTGCACACATCAATGATGCAATGTCGATAAATTCATAATTGTGCAGTGACGCACATCAGCCCAAACATCTGGGATGCTGAGTTTTGCTGCAGTGAGGCAAAGCAAATGCTCATTTTAGGAACTAAAATCCTCTTTAAAAGGAGCCAGTGACTCCAGCATTCCCAATGTGACAGCTTATGTAAAGGGATCGTATAAAATCAGTTAGTTTGGGTCAGAACTCCTCATAAAGTCAATGAGAGCTCACAATAAGTCAATTGGAATGATCTAACGAACAGCAGTCAGTCGAAAGCACTATGTGTCACACATTTAACTCATCAGCTAACTCATCATTGGGAGGCTCAGGACTCTGACACAGCTTTCGTGCCATTTACTACATTTCCCAGCCCCCTCAGGCAGATGGCTGTGTTTAGCGTCTAACAGAAAAGCCCGACAGCCCTACGTCATGCTGTCACTTCACATTCATGGACTCACCTATCTAGGCTTGCGATGGGTATAGGCTGTTGCTGGTTTAGTGTCCAGGAAACTGCAGAGAAGGTCTTGGCTAGTAGAAGCTAACCGACATTTTGATGACGTCTGCTGATATAATCTGTTACAATCAATCAAGGAGTTAACCACAAGTCCTGCTCTTCAGCTCTACCAGGCCATTTCTGACTAGTACCCAAGTTCAAGTTGATTTTTTTTCTGAGATGACCTGGAAAATGGTGCTTTCAGGCCAGGCTGGTGAAACGGATACACACACATACCGTGAAGGTGTGGTAAAATTACGAAACTGGAAACAGGCCTCTAGACTATTTTAAGTCAGAAAAATGAGAAATGCACCCAGAACCACAGCTTCCAGGCATCGTTCAAGCACAATTTCACTGGTTAAATTCCTGCAAAGACTATAAACACGTCTAGCCAGAGTCTCAGCTCAGTACGACAAGCCCAGTTCACGTTAGGGACACCGGGCATTGACGGGGAAGCAGCAGATCAGAAGCAGCAGCCATTACCCGCAGACTGCAAAAGTGAGACGAAAAAGCCATTAGAAACTGCCAGAATCTAACAATTCACCAACTATATGAAAAACCACAAATGAATGTAAAAAAATGCATACGTTGCTAAGACAGATTTCATGTTCCATAATAATACAAGCTTAAGAGCATCTGAGCTGAATGCTGGAGGGACAGATGGCTTAAATCTCCAGTTACATAATCATAATCAGAATTTGCCAAAACAGCAACAATGAAAAAAAAAGCAATTTATTGAAGATTTTAGAATAGTGTTCATTTAATCCAACATACACATTTAAAACTATGAGTTTAACTGATGCCGACTTTAGTAAAGTCAAATATTTCCTCACCTCGTTAGCAAACGCAACAAAGACCTGACCTATAAAAATCTAAATGATACAAGGGAATGTTATTTCTGCCTGCTCTCATCAATGTGAGAAAGGGTTTTACAGACGCCTGCCTAACTCCTGATATGTGACTCAGCTGAATCGTCAGGATCTTTTACTGCAACACAGAAATAACTGGTTTCCCCACATGCTAGATTAACCAAATAAAAGGCCTATTTAAAACCGTTTAGCCTCCTGCCAGTGATCTCAGTACCTAAAATTAACTTTTGTTGTCCTTACATTAAAAAAGTCATTTTTTATTTTAGGGTAATATAATACAAAATGTAAAAAGATCTATTGGATTTCACATATGATGTCCGTGAATTTTAAAGACACATTTTGAGACCAAGAACGCGTTTATTTTCAAACAGGGGGAAACGTTATTTTAGGTTTTGTGTGAAAATAAGTCCAGGACTACAAATGCGCTTCACGAAAGTGACGTCATCGACCCAGACACGGAGAAAACAGTGGGAAAAGGGCTGTAAGTTCAGCAAACTTCCCACAGGAGGAAAGAACCACCTTTAATCTGGTCATGTGGTAAGTAGCAGCTACGTTAGGGGAGAGGAGATTATGTAGTGATGTCATATATGCGATGTGCCGATTTCTGGTGTGTAGTCATGCTAATTACGAACTTTAACAAGCTAATAAATCTCAAAGTACGTGACTGCTGTGGTCGAAACACCCATCATTACTTTTCATTTAAATTGCAGTGCAACATATGTGCGATCCAGGGCGTAAGGCAAAGCGGATTAGACAATAGCGTTTTTAGCCCCGTTGACTTGCTTTCATTTTTTCGTTCTTTCTGCGAGCCGACCGGAAGGGGAGGAGACTTACGCTCCCAATTTATACTTCTCCGTCAGCTCCACGAGGGACAGACACGTACACACCCTCAACATATATACGCACGGATGGAGACGTTTTGCTCTCGGACTTCTCCGTCTCCTGGGGAGTGTTGCAAAGCAATTCCCCACCAGGACAACAGAGGGCTCAGCGCTGTTCTGCGGTATCTTCTCATGTATCTTGTCCAAGAGAGTGCATTTACTATTGTGTTATTTATATTTTTAGAGAGTTTTTTAAATGGACAAATTCGTCCCTCATTCTCCTTCACCTCTTCATACACTCGCCACCTCTAAACCCACGTTTCCCATAACTTCGATCCACGAATAAAACATCCATATTTTTAGAGTTTTTCTGCGAGGTATTCTTGAAGCTGCTCTGTCTACTGCTAGATATTTTTGGCTTTCTTCATATTTTTGAGGGTGCAATGGCAGCGCTGTAGACGACAGCGGCGTCCTGACCAATCACAAGCTTGCGCTCTCCATCTCGTTGGACGGATGATTAAAAAGTGTGCTTGACTCTGTCCATCCTTGCAAGCCTGCTGGACAGCCCTCACAAGGACAGATTATGGCGTTGCGTGTCTCTGCACTGACGCCGATGCAGAAGTATAAACTAGGCTCCCTATGGTTGCTGGTCAAGCTAAAATGGTGGACTGGTTTGACCCATTCTAAACCCAGACCATGAAAATAAAAGCATTATTGCCATCTCCTCATTTATGATATTCTCAGACTACTGGCTTTTACAGAATGCTAACATCTGTTGTCTTGCTTTGCTGCAGTGTCAAATTAACCAAAGATACAGACCAGAAGATTTAATCAGATAAAAAGATGAGAATGTCCTCCGAAGATAAATATACCTAATAACAGAATCTTACCTGGTCTTCGAAGGACAGGGCCTGTCCAACGTCCCGAGGAAACCCGTCTATGACGATACCGTTGGCATCGGGGATCTTCATAATCTTCTGTTTTATCTCCGTTATTGTGGTTTCCTGAAAAAGAACAACATAAATCATGATTACCTTCCCAGAACCCAAACTGTAAATGTCAAAACAGCAATAAAACAGAAATCTACCCCCCAAAAACCAGGAATCTACAGGGAGGGTATCAAGTTTTCATCAAGATTAAAAAGAAGAGGAGGAAACAGATTTCTATAAAGTTAATTAGGAGATGCTTTGGAGAATTCCCCTACGCATCATGCGTTTTTGTCTTTCTTTAATAGTTGTAACTGCAGCAGAGTGAAGAGCTGCTAAAGCCAGAGAACGCCAACTTCTCGAGTCACTGACTTCCTCGTGGCTGAAGGAGGTCAACATGTTAAAACGCATTTTACTGGACAGAATGCAACTCGTGACATGACAGCATACATGAGCAAAGCTCTGATCTAAAAATAACAGGACTAACACAGACGCTTAATTTGATCTTGATATCAGAATTGAGGCAGTGATCGTGTATAACCTGAAGTGATTATAATCTAGTATCCATAAAACAGATTAATGTATAAAATCTGAGTCTAGTTGAAGAAAAACATTCATTTTGGAGCAATGAACAGAAAAAAGGGTCTAAAATCTCTGGTGTACTCTTTCATTACACAAAGCAGATGTGTGAAAGCTTTCTGTGTAGAAGACCGGGAGCTCAGATGTTTGGTTTACGTCATCCCTAACAAGTCACAGTTATAATTTTCACATCTATCAAATGCGACTCGCTGCATTATGTCGCTATTTGTAGGAAGTCATAAACAAGAGGCAAAGCCTCTTTTGTTATTGTTTTGTTTTGTGAATTTTTTTTGCTCACACATGAAGGAGAGACGGATTTAAGGCCTGAGTATGACTCATAATGTTACAATGTAGGACGCTGTCATCGGGATACACTCAAAAAACACACTGTTGAAACAATATTTAGAAACTTGCAAAAATGTGTCTGATTAATTTGAAATTTGAAATTTCAATTTTGAATTTCAGTTTGAAGTTAAAAAAGTTTTGATTTATAAGAAAAACACAAGCTAACAAAAAAAGAATATTTTTAAACCTGTTAGACCAACATTAATGGAAAAAATGAGGTATCCCTAAAAGATTGCTATTTTAGCTCATATGTGTTACTTCATTAGTTTATATAATATTCTATTATTTATTAGGATGCTTATATTCCTATAATAATCAAATATAACGGTGTGCTTTTAATATATAAACTTTTATATTTAGGTTGATCAAATGAGTTTTAAAAAAATAAATAAAATGTTTAAAGTACATGTTGGTTTATTATGTGAAAATATAACTATACTGCTACTTTTAACAGAAACAGAGATTTAACAGTCCAACTTTTAAGAGTATTTACTAATTTAAAAAACATTCCCGAACTGATGCCTTTATTATTTTTCAACACACAGAAAAGTCTGATAAATGCCAGTCATTCTTCAGGGGCAGGACGTATCACAATGGCCACAATAACGGCAAATGTCAGCAGGAAAGGTCACTCTGTGGTGCTCTTTTTGAACAATAATGGAGAGTACATTACAAGTCTGATGGGAAAATGGGACTCACAGTGATTCTCACGTTTTCATTTTAGGATTTACTTTACGTAAACACACTCATGAAATTAGTTGGTTGGGTTTAGAACATCAGGAGGTTGGTATTAAATACTCAATAAACCGTACAACATTACCGTGTTGCATAGGCAGCGTGTATGTCCAAAAGTTACTCTTGAAATAGTTGATTGAAAACACATTTACATAGATTTAGAAGTTAACATCAAACCTCTTATAACCTTAAAGCATCCAGATGGAGGATTAGGATTACTTTCATCAGGTATTTGTCAAATCCAGTCCTATACATGTCTACTGCCCTCTGGTGATGAATCTACAGATGGTGAGGGCCAATTTTATTTCTTGTTTACTGTTATGTTGTCATATAATTATACAGTTAAACAAAATAATATTATATATTTGTTTTAGGAAAGTTAAACAATAAAAAGTACAAATATTTTAGAAGCTTTTCATGTCAGATTCATGTTCATTGTGTGAACATTTGTTTAAGCAGTCAAAATATTATATCAATTCAAGGCTTTGAGTAAATCCTACCATATAAATCGAGTTACAACCTCCTTGGGCCCTTGAAAAGGCTTCTTGCAAAAACATTTAGACCAGTTTTTATGACTTAGGACAACATTTTAATTTGAAACATTTAATTTTTCTTTGTTTATTTATGAAAAAAATAACATAAAATATTATAAAAAAATATGTTTTAATTTTGTTTTTTGTCTAGGAGACCCTACTCACCTGAAATTGCTAGGGGAAAATATATTTCACCAAATAAAAGCTTGTGTCTTAAGACATCTCTTTTGCAACAAGTTAAAAGTATTTGAAAACATCTTTGGAAAGTTTATACTATAAATGAACACTAACATAGTGATTCTAGAGACTCACCATAAAAATATTAGAGATTTTTGCTTTAATTAATCAATTAATTAATTAGTTAGTTAATAACTCCAGAGCTAAATGTCAAACACCAACCCCAGAAAAAGTTATGGAGAAAGTTCACAAATATACAGAACAAGACTGTAATATCAAATCAAGAGTGGAAATAAAAGATCAATATTCATCTAATTTCCTTTAAAGAAAGAGTTCCAATATTGTAATAAATGATCATAGTTGTAACAATAACTGTGCAGCATCAGCCACCCAAATCTCCTCCTTCTGCAACTTTAACTACAATATTTTTAAATTTAATTTGAGGAATAAAAATTTTTGTTAACCTGATGCCTGAATCAATAAAGATAAAACGCTTAAATACCTCATTTGTTGTCTAACCAGCATTGGAATGTTTTTTTATGCATGCATAATTACTTCAAACCAAATTGCATCATTTGTACAGTGCCTAAAGCAGCTTCATCCAGTGTGACCTGCCTGCTGATTGGCCTACGTTACTGTTTGTCTCACTTGTTTCTGAGCTGACATCTGGACAAAAGTGCTACAAGGAATAAGTGACGTCTCAGACATGCAAGTAGAGGATGATAAATGATGAGTAAGGCATCTGCTGAAGATAATTCATGAGAAGGCATGAGTTAAAACGGGCTGTTCATGACGCGGTCGGTGGCTTGTGTCAGTGTTAACGGCCTTGTGGTGTTGCTGATAAATCACAGGACTGACAGAAGAGACCCTCTAGGTTTTACCAGCAAAACACACAAGTATAACCACTCAGTTTGTTTTCAGTCGTGTTTTTCATAAGATACAGGAACTTCAAATCTGCCTAGAATTGTTTTTTTTAAATCAATCCACAAAAGTTTCACATTTAAGTGTTTAATCTGCTGTAAAATGTTTTAAAATGAAAGTGGTCTGTCCTAAAATCTGAGTTGTGGACTCATTTGGCAAACAAACTTTAATTAAAGCAAACCTGATTTGAAAATGTGGGCGGAGTCTAGGATGGCTAGTCAAATCGGACTTGGTCTTTAGGGAAGGAGTGGCCAAATTAATGTCATTTTAAAAAAGAATATTTAAAAAGAGCTTTGGTAAATAGATGTACACCACTTAAAATAAGTAAAGATGCTTTCATAAGTTTTAATTGCAAATAAATAATTTAATGCCAAAAATCTAAATCTGGTATCTCAAGGAGCAACAACGGCTGCTGATAAATAGAAAAGGACATTAGTGCGGGAGTTTCCAACATGAAACATTTGCAAGTTGTTAGCCTAGCCGACCAACCATAGCAGTAGAAAAAGATTTAGCTGGTTGGTCTAGTAATGATCCATTGTAGCCTCAGCAGGTCTACCACTGGACCGAGCAGTTTTGTGTCTTGCCAATCACAATTTCTACGTTTGTTGGCTCCGCTTTCACCAAAGCCACGACATAGAAACCTTCAAAGACGGCGTCAGTTTGGGAACGGTGCTTGTTTGAAACAGCTTTGGCATCAACTTTGGACTAGTTAGACCCGAGCTTCTCTTTGAGACGTGAGCAGAAAGAGGTACTTAAGTTATTGGGGATTTTGCTGTAAAGTTTCTGTCATTTGACCTTTTTTTAAATGTGAAACAAATTTTCTCTAAAAATTAGTTTCATTGTAGATGTCTGAATTCAGTCTGAAACCACCTTTCAGTTTAACTGAGAAAGAACAAGAACTATGAGACACTTAAGTGACTAATGCCTGATTTATACTTCTTCGACTGCGTCGGTGCAGAAACACGCCATCATGTGTTGGCGCAAGGGCTCTCCGACGGGCTCACAGAGGGTGACGGAGACATGCCCAAAATTTTAAACATCTGTTGAAAGTGACGGAGACTGCATGCTTGTGATTGGTCAGGATGCCGCTTCCTGTATGTTCGTCACCAGCACCGCTGTAACTCCGTTAAAAAGTAAACAGATATTTAGCGGCAGACCCAGCACATATTGAAGAATGCATTGTGTAAAAAGTCTGGATATATGAACATTTATTCACCCGTGGGTGAAAGAGTACAAAATACAAAGCAAACGCGGACGAAAATGACTGAAAATGTGGGTTTAGAGGTGGCGACCGCATGGAGGTGGAGGAGAAAGAAGGACAAATTGTTTTGTGTCGTAACGTCTCTCAAATATATAAACACATTAGTAAATACACTATTATGGACCAAATAAATGAGTGCTACGGGGGCAGGATACCACAGAACAGTGCTGCGCCCTCTGTTGTCCTGGCGGGGAATTGCTTTGCAACGCTCCGCTGCCTGCACAAAAGTGCGAATGTGAACATCTTTCTAACACTCCATTGCGGAGCTCACGGAAAAGTATAAATCAGACTTAAGTTGTGATTTTTAAAAATGTTTTTCTTTTCTCTACAAATCAAGCTCCAAATTAAAGAACAGATGGTTATCTGTCATTGTTGCGGTGCTCTACAATTTCGTAGTTGCACCTTTACCAGTGTCGCAACAAACAATCACCGAGCACGAGAACATTTACACCATAATAATCGGAACAGCAGAAAACCGACGTTTTACTGAATGTGCATGCTCTGCAACCGCTGAGATAAGGTAATATTAACATATGGCCCAGCACAAACAGTTAATATCACACACTGAACTGCAGATGTGTCAAAGTACCATAATGATATCAGATACTTAGTTTGAAGGAGCGAAGCGTAAACAAGCACATGTTGTGTTCGGTTTCTTCAGGCAGAGTGATTATCTCGTAAACATGGATGACGCTAATGAGACAGATAAGTGTCCGTTCAGCAGAGTCTTCATCTCCTACTACCTGCGGTGCCAGCTCTCCGTTGGTGATGATCTTGGCAATGAGGCTCCACTTTCGGTTGCTAGTGGCGTTGTGGATCATCTTCTTCCTCAGCAGCTCGCCCACAGACATGTAGTGGAAGCCGTAGCGCTCTGCGATCTTCAGGCTCTGGGTTCCTTTGCCACTTCCAGGGCCACCTAATCACACACACACACACACACACACACACACACACACACACACACACACACACACACACACACACACACACACACACACACACACACACACACACACACACACACACACACACACACACACACGGAAGAGACAGGGAGGGAGAGCCGTTGATGTTTATGGAAAATATGTACTTAATTAATTATTTTAGCCACGAGTTTAGGTGTGAAAAATTCAGCATGTGGGAGTGCAAGTGTAGGTGCATGTGTGTATAAGTGAGAGAAAATAAGACTGTGTGTGTGTGTGTGTGTGTGTGTGTGTGTGTGTGTGTGTGTGTGTGTGTGTGTGTGTGTGTGTGTGTGTGTGTTAGGCCGGCTGTGAAACTGTTTGTGGGGGAGGAGTGCGTGAACGAAACAGGTATGCATGAACCTCCTACATTTTTGACAAGAAATCACTTCTTTTCACTGCATTTCATTAGAAGACGTGCAGAGGAGTGATGGGATTTTTTACCATTTTCATATCGCTGTGAGACAGAATTCCAAGCTCTAAATGATCGTAATTGAATGAAATGTGTCAGAACCAGATAAAAAATGACATTCTGAGTTGAATTTCCTTTTAGAAGTCTATTTATGCTGCTTGTATAATGTTGATTTGCAAAAAGCTTGTTGTGGTGCCCCTAAAGGTCCCCTGAAATCACTGCTGTTCATTTCATTTTATATCCAGGTTGTAGAGTCGTCGCACTAAATATCCAAATCTTTCCTGCTTGGAGGTGAAGTGAGCTTGCGGGAAATTAATGTCAACATGGTGTCTACATGAGGAAACATCAGGATTGTTCAAGTTCTGGGAACCAGGTTTCAGTTAGGTGACTTTTATTTTCTTGTATGATGAGAAGGAATTCAGAGTCTAAGTTCATCTCAACCCAAACTAGCTGAGACTTCCTGATCTTCATCCAATCAGAAAACTGAGCAGTAACAAGATGTGCAGAGTTGTATGTGGAGATGTAACCAAAACCATTTATGTGATGTTTTCTTCTCTATAAATACCTACATCCTTCATGCTGTGCATGTGCAACGAGCCCTGTGACATCATAAATACCAGAAGAAAACTGTAGTCTTCCTAAGGTGTCTTCATGATATTTGATTGGACTCAAATCAGTCTCATTTGGATTTATAGAAATGTTTGAGAATGTTTTTGTTCTGCTTGAGAAAATTTCTAATTGAGGGAAATAACCATGTTGCCATTTTAATTCCCTGAATGCTGAGAAAATGAGCATCACTGTATCTTTCTGGTTCCCTCCAGCATGAGGAACACTGGAGAAAATTCTGCTCCCTTAACAGTCAAAACAAAACTCTAAATAATCATAATTCATGTAAAAATAACAAGTGTTAGATAAAGAATACAAATGAGAAACTTGTGACAGTTTAATACTTTTTTGGACTCTTTAGAATTTTTGATGATAATTTTGATTGAATTAGCTGGATCATGTGTTCTTTTTGTTAAAAGCTCATTTAGACTCAATGTAAACACAATCCAAAAGTCTTCAATCACCCATTTGCACACTCAAGATGCTTTTTCATAAAGTCACAAAATGTCTAGAAAATAAAACAGACTGTGCAGAAATAACTTAAACAAACAAAAAGTTGTTTTTGCTCCCTTTGGTCGAAATCTGTGGACTGAATCTTACTCTGCAAAAACGGATTTCTAAGAAAGTTAAAAACAACAATTTTTAAAGAAATTTTAGATAATTTTAGTCTAGAAAGAAAATAAATTATCTAGAAAAAAATTGCTTGGCTAGAATTCTTAAAACTAGCAAAATTATTAAAAATTGTGATTTATTTGCTCGTTTTGGGAAATCTAGCCAAACAACTTTAGCTTTGAATCTTAATAAAACTATAAATAAGTAATGAATGGATGCGCTCCTCTAATTAAGTTTAGGAGTAAACTTCATTCAAGTTCGCCACCAAAACATCACCAAACAGAATCGGCTACGACTCCGTCAGTTTCTCAGATGTTGAGCTAAAAATTGACGTTGCAAAACTGGTATGAATTTACAATTCGTTAACATAATTGAATCATCGTCAGGGCTTAATTTACTAGTTTCTGATCATGTAGAAGTCTTCAGGACAAGTTACTATCGGTCCAAATAAAAGCATGTAACGAAGATGAAACTGGTGACAGAAAGGTAAAAGCTGTGTCAGATTTAATATCTGGCTGGATAAAACACTGATGGTACAGAAAGACAACAAGAGGGTGACGAGATGGATTTTCTCTTCATCTCACCAATTTTACAAGAACCTATCTGTCCTACCGGGGAATCAAGCCTTCAAACTGACACATAGAATTACCGTGGAGCTTTTATTTGTTGTTTATGTCACTTTTAGATTTTAACTCGAGTACAAAAAGCCACTTTTTGTTTGAAATGCTTCAATTATTGCCAAAGAAAGAGTAGGAGGCCGATCACGTAGATGGATGTCTTAATTCTTGACTTCTTTCCCGCACGCACTCATGTGTTTGTCTCTGCAAACCTGACAGACAGAACATTCACCATGATCGTCCACAGAGATGACAGCTGGTGCCATCCTGCTTCTCCTCTTTAAAACCAGGGCACAATGTGCTCACAAAGGAGAGATGGTAACTGGCTTTGTGCTGCGAGGACAAATATCTATCAGCCACTCCACAGAGAGACAGAAAATCCCACTGAAAGCAAAACATGCTGCAGCAGAAACCCTCTAGAAGGATGGCGGCGAAACTCACTTTGGAACTGTTTTAAAGTCTTCCTCTTTATGTGCAACCAATCATTTCTTAGGCTGACATGGTCATGCTGAGGAAATCAGATTAGTAGGTGTATGTGTGTGTGTGTGTGTGTGTGTGTGTGTGTGTGTGTGTGTGTGTGTGTGTGTGTGTGTGTGTGTGTGTGTGTGTGTGTGTGCAGCAAGATCTGCGAACATTACCTACTTTATATGTTTCTTTTTACCCTAGAGGACCAAAAGAGTTAAGAGTGTAATTACCAATAACGAGGATGACTTTGGGCCGTGGTCTGGACGGGTCAAACACTTCGTACTCCTCTATGAGCTCGGCCGTCTCTGACAGGTCCGAGTCGCTCTCAATGGAGAACTGGTTGATGGGTGGCAGGCGGTCGTACCGTCTGTAGGGGAAATTGGGGCTGTCGGGCAGCACTGTCACACAGAAAACAAGCATCCACAGGTGTTATAAATGTGCAGGCCAAACCAGCTTTTGTTTGTGCACCGATGACCGTTCACGCTCGCTGACTTTAACCTGTGTTTTATAGATCCAGGTGTCATGTTCTATTTACAGAGACCTCTGCAGCTCAGAAGCAACCAGTTGTGCGTGTAAGCAGTCAAACAGAAAATTGGAGGTTAAATCATAATGATGAAAACAAACTGAGCTGCTGCATTTAGGCTGGTAATTATCCTGCTTTCTACACTCATTAAAACGTTGATTATGAAGCTTTCACAACACAGTTAGCAGAGATAGAAATCATTGCTGCAAGCCTCTCCGGGGGAAGTGGGGGCTGCTAGGATTCACATATAAAACCAATAGCACAAAATTTTAGCAATAGGGGAACAGAGCCTATCAATACATTCAGGAAGTTCCTGCACATCATTAAACATGCAGGGAAATAATAATAATAATAATAATAATAATAATAATAATAATAATAATAATAATAATAATAATAATAATAATAAACTAGTCATTTATCTTGTTTTCACAGCACAGGACATTAAAGCTTCAGCTGGAAGGTGCATTCATGAATTTTCCTCATCAGCCCAGATTTTCCACTCTGCAGCTGGTAACATTTTCAGGCGTTTTTAACAAAAAAACACCCAAACAGATAAAAAAAATAAACATTTTGAAAGCTGAAATCTCTCTAAAATTGTTTTGTGTGGCTATGGCTGTCTCTTTTTGATCCTCTGCGACTGATGCCATGAACTCCATGCAGCTGAAGCTAAATATTTTATGTGAAGTTCAAATGGATAGATAAAAATCTATTTTATTTTATTTTGCCTTTATTTAACCATGTTGGTCCCATTGAGATACAAGATCTCTTTTGCAAGGGAGACCTGGCCAAGACAGACAGAGCAGCAGCACAAGTTACAATATTAATACATTCACATTTAAATACATTTCCACGTAAACTCAATTAAAACATGAACACACTGATAGTCTGGATTCCAATGACCTAATCAGAGTCTTAAATCCACTCAAGGAAACGAAATCCTTGATTTTTAGATCTTTCTGTAGTGAATTCCATGTAGATGGAGCAGCAAAGCTAAAAGCCGTCTTTCCCAGCTCTGTGCGAACCTTAGGAACAACAAATTGCAAAAGTTCACTTGAGCGGAGGCTGAGCTGCTTCTGCTTTCTTGATAAAAGATCAATGTTTTGTAAACCCTGACCATGTTTTGCACACCAACAGTTAGATCTGCAGCAATCCACTTGTAATAAATAACAAACGGAGAGCTTTTAATTGCGATTAATCGTTAACAATGCATTTTCATCTGCTGGTCAGTGAGGAAATGCATACATGTTGGCTGTAGATTTTCTTTCCTACGCATAATTTATCAAAACAGCATCAGTTTGGAGTTCAGGTGTTTCATGTCTGGCACTTTCTTATGTGTTTAGAGTGGTGATTCACCCAGCCACGAATCACATTAGAGCTGCCAAAAGCATCTTATCTCATTATACTCTAAAAGTCTTCCTTCCTGTACTTCAAAGAGAAACAAAAGCAGTAGATCCTCCAAAAGGCTCCTTAAGGTGCACCACAAATGTCAACAATGCCTTTTCCTGTTCAAAGGTGGTGTTGATTTGGATGGCATTTTGTTGAAAGTATTGTGTGACGTAAACAGACGATGGCTTTTGTAAAATAACAAAAACAGAAGTGACAAAATATAACAAAAATGACAAAAATTCTAATTCCAATAATCTTATAAGGAAAGAGTGATTTTGTATATGTTATTTTTTTTCTCTTGTTTTGTGTGTTTAAATTAGACATGCATCCAAAAAGCATTGTGATCAACCCAACTCATGACTGGCCAAACTAAGGCAGGAAACTCAGACTATTACAATTTTTTTAATTTTTTTTCTTGTATTTTTAATAGGGGTGGGGGTTGATGAAAACTGTATCAAATTAATCAGAGACATTGTGATTAATTAATCTTAATGATCACATTTTAATCGTTCAGGACAATCTGCGCCCAAGCAATTATTTTCTTTAAAATAATGTTAGTGAGGCACGTATAAAATACACACACTTTAATGAGTATATTTCTGTAACCTTGTCAGTGGTCTAGTGGTAGAGTGTTCATCCTAGGACTGGGATATTGGCGCTTTAATCCCGGTCGAGTCATACCAAAGACTTAAAGAATAGGACCCGAGGCCTCCCTGCTTGACACTCAGCTTTAAGGGGTTATTTTAGGGGGTTAAACCACCAAATAGTTCCTGAGCGCAGCCACAGTTGCAGCTTGCCGCTCCTCATGGGGACGGGTCAAATGTAGAGATGAATTTCACCATGTGTGATAACTAATAGGATGTTAACTTTAACCACAAGGTGTATTTGATCACTTTGGTCTCAATGTAAAGGTAAACATTGTGGGATTTGTTGGGATGTGTTATTGATCAAGTCTAAATGGACATCAATCATTGTAAATGTGCACTGAACTGAACTCTAGGTGGCAGCAGAGCACTGCTAATATAGAGGTGTAGTGTAGAGTTCAGGGGAAGTTCTGCTGAGGGTTCCCAGCTCTTTTAAATATGCAGTAGTGCGCCCTCTGCTGAAGAAAGCTGGCCTAGATTCGTCGAATATATCTAACTATAGGCCTGTTTCCACACTGCCTTTCTTAGCTAAGGTCTTAGAAAAACTTGTGTATGCCCAAATGATATCCTTTCTACATGAAAATGAGATGCTAGAGATTTTTCAGTCTGTGTTTAAGTCTCTCCATAGTACAGAATCAGCCCTGTTGATGGTTTTGAATGATATCATGATGGCAAACAATTCTGGGGAGGCTGTGGTTTTGATGCTCTTGGACTTGACTGCGGCACTTGACACCATAGACTATATTTGATGAATCTAGGCCAGCTTTCTTCAGCAGAGTTCTTTTAAACCACTCTTGGACTGCTTGGAGGAGATCAAGTTATGAATAGCTCATAATTTATTGTTCTTCAACCAGAATAAAACTGAGACTATCCTGTTCTGCCCGAAATACAAACATGGATGTGCCCAAGGGATTGACTCTCCTTCATTAGGGCCTTTTGAGAAGGCTGTGGTCACCAACCTGGGGGTGAAGTTGGATGTTGAGCTCACACTGGACACCCGGGTCAATGGAACAATCAGATCCTGCTATTTCCATGTCAGGAGAATAGCTAGGATTAAGTCGCTGCTATCACGTAAACATCTGGAAACTGTCATCCACGCCTTCATTACCACCAGACTGGACTACTGTAACTCGCTTTATGCAGGCATCGAGCAGGCCTCCATAGCGAAACTACAGAAGGTCCAAAATGCGGCAGCCAGGTTACTGACTGGTACCAGGAGATCTGAACACATCACGCCTGTCTTGGCATTCATACACTGGCTTCCAGTCTCTTTTAGAATTTTGTTTAAAGTGCTGGTGTTTGTTTTTAAATGTTTAAATGAGTTGGCTCCACGTTATCTGGCGGATCTGACCCGTCCTTATGTTCCCGCAAGGAACCTTCGGTCAGCACAAAAAGGACTGTTGGTCGTTCCTAAACACAGACTACAATCTCGAGGGGGTTGTGCTTTCTCGGTGCTGGGGCCGAGGCTCTGGAATGAGCTACCTACATGTGTTAAACAGGCCACCACGCTCGGCAAGTTTAAGAGCCAGCTGAAAACACACTTTTATTCTTTAGATTTTATTCAAGAAGAGTCCCGTTAACGGATGGCTTTGCACTTTTTGCTGCCCCACCTAGATTTTATCTGCATGTTTTAGTTGGTTTTTAAATGGTTTAATATGTTTTTATTATTTTTTTTATTTTATTTTATTTTTTTACATTTATTTCTGCTGTGCAGCGCTTTATTTGGTCCTTGGGCCATGTGAAGGCGCTATATAAATACAATTTTGGTTAGTTAGTTAGTTACAAGATGAATGAATGATGAATGTATGCTTGTTGTTCCTCCTGCTGTAATAAAGTTCATATGGATAAAGTTACTGCCTGTCGGCTTTCTACCAACTAGGAAACATAACGGTAAAAAGTCGATGTTTTTCTTTCTTTCTTCTCTTCATGAAGAGCAATTTGTCATTATTCATTTAATTGTAGTTTAAGTTGTGTAGAGAACATAAAATAAGTTCTTTAGAGGTACAGCTTGATGCTATTTATTGATACATAGGGCATAGTCTTTGTTGCTGGACTTTTCCACCCTCCTCCCAGTTGGGGAGCGTACAGGCCCAAGCGGTAATTTTTTAATGTTTTATATTTTCCTAAATGATGAATTGTAATTAATGTGTTAAATTCCCATCCCTACTTTTTAATTTATGCACCAATGTGAAGCAGCCCCCCAAAAATTCTGAATTCTGATCGTTTTTGGACAATTAACTTACCACTAATTCATGCTTTCTATAAAGCAAAAATAATGGCAAAGTCATAAATTTAAACTACATTTAGAGCTAATTATTGCTTTGGTCATAAATTTAAACTACATTTAGAGCTAATTATTGCTTATGGAGACAACTCTTGTAAACCGATCAGAGTTGGTGCATCTTTACTTTAAGCCAAAACTGCATCAAGAAAACTTTAAAGTAGAAACCAACCACTTCTGGTTTGTTGCCATCTTTATTAGCTGCATCCTCACCATTTCTGAAGAGTGATCTGCGTGACTGGCCTCCGTTGAGAGGTGGCAGTGACTTCTTCTCCTGACCCACAAAAGTGTCCCACCGCACCTTGTCCGTCCCTCCGAGCTCTCTGACTTTTTTCAGACAGCCTTCCAAGTATTCAATGGGGTCATCGGGTCGGTAGTACATCAAACCCGTCAGCAGGCTCTGGAGGAGACAGAGGAGGAAGTTCTGCATCTGTGTTGTTCTGTGACAGCTGAGGTACTGAAAGCTGCTGCTTCTGCTTCATCAGGGAAACCAAGACACAGCCTTTAAAACCGGCGCTGGACCAATGACCCCCAAAACCTGCTTTCAAAACAAAGATTTCCTCTGGGACTTCCTTCCATTAACAACGCCCTACATCAACAACCTTCTGCAAAAACTCTGAAATGTAATTCGATGTGTTTATTTACCTGAATGGTAATAAATCACATCAGTGAGCAGTGAAATGAGCCGTGTAACAGAGTTAGAATGTATCACTCCACTGCTAAAAGTAATTTAAAATGTCAGCAAATCAAAAAACAGGATTGGGTTTAACTGAGCAGAGAAGAAAATGAATCATCTCAGAAAAAAGGGATTTACCAGAATCCATCAAGAAACTTTTCTAGACATTTCGGGGCAGAATTGATGATATTTTCTAGTTTTCTTTGCTGAGATAATAAAAATGAACATTTAATATTATTCTGATTTCTTTGCAGTGGTCAAATATGCTCTGAAATGCTGCTTCTAGGTGAATAAATGAGGAGTCTTCCTTCACCACTGATGTAATTACCCTGACGGTGCATCCAGGATGCATCCCGATATAAAACCATCATCATGAGCTGTCGCCACGTCTCCATCTCTCACCTCAAACAGCTGGGGTATCTCCTGCCGCGCAAGATACTCCTTGGCATCGTTGGTATTCATCATCCAGAAGGATTTCGTCTCAAATCACAACTTGTCCGAAGCGGTTGTATCCCCCCCCCCCACTCAGATGTCTCAGAGCAGAAAGGTGATCTTTGGTCAATAACGACGGATTTCCGATCAGCGCATTTTGCTCCTCCTGCGCGGACTTGTCAACTAGATTCCTGCAGGCGATTTCACTTTGCTCTCCCTCCTCCTCTTCCTCCCCCTCAGCTGTGAGGATGCGCGTCTTTACTCTCGCAGCGCTTCGCGTCCTGTGTGCGTGTTTTTGTTTTCTGACAGGGACTGCGCGTTCTGCGTGCCAAAAGCGCACCTCCGCGTGGCTGTTTGCCCGACAACTTCCGCTTAAGCGCATTCCGTTTTTAATGGGAGTCCTTTGAAACCTCAGTTCACCCCACTTCTCAAGTTTGCTCTGTTTCTTTCTCAGAAATTACGTTACGAACAGGAAATGAATTAGGCGATGGAAAAAGTTGGAAATTCCTCTACAGATTCTCCCAGCGCAGCTTCATGTTAGAAAACTTATAGATAGAAATATGTTTATATCTAATAATTGTTTTATTTAAATATATTTATTTTTTAATGTGATACACTTCACACGTGATCTGCAGGCAGAGTGATGCAGCAAATCTAAAAACAGTAGAAAAGGGGATTAAGTTCACTAAAGGCTCCAACCCCTGCTGTGTCAAAGCTGATTCTGTTTTTCCACCTCTGCTTCTTCGGCAGTTACAGCTGAAATCTATCCTGCAGCATCTGTGAGGGGAATTTTGAACAAATAGATGTCTGCATTACTAAAACGTAGTTGTTCCCACGTCTGCTTCCATAATTATTAGTTGAATTACACCAGTTAGATATAAAGCGAGAAGATGCAAGCAGAACCAATCAAAGAAGAAATACATATTATTCAAATCAATTAACAGGAACATGAAATAGAATAACTGAAATAGAAATTAATTGTACTATTTATTTTATTTTAATGTCGCAACAGACCGAAGCCATAAAAGGGGGTTTTGTTTGTCATCTTTTGAAAACAACTGATGACACCATGACATAAATTTACGATTGATAAAATATTCAGAAGCTATGCTTAAATGTACAGCTTGAGTTTTGTGTACAGTTTTTTCTCAATAAGCAATATGGGATATTTCTTAAGTTATTATACTTACATGTTTATTTTTTACTTAACCTATCATTGAAATGTAGCCTATTTGTGCTTTTATTCCGTGCAGCTGTCAGCTTCAACTGCTCTGTTGCTCAAGGCAGAATGCACTTAGGAATTTGACCCTCTACTGCACGATCAAGAAACTCAAATTTAATCTAATACCATAACGCACAAATTATCAAGCATGTTTCATTGATATTGCATTTTTATTGACATTTTTATGTAAATATATTTTTTTGATTTACAACTCTCGACAACAACAGACTTTTATTTTTGAAACACCGTAAACCGGAAATACTCGCAGGGTGGGATTTTACTTCCGTGATCTCCAGTCGATGCTAACAGTCCGGAAACATGAAGTTATCTATTTTATTCAGCTTATTCTGTACTTTATGGGTTACTGATAGCATTGATATCGATGTGAGTGAGCTATTGTTTATTTTTACATAGACTTTCTTGGTTGTATTTGTTTATTTGTGCTAAAACTGTGTCCTGTTAGCTCATTCGGTTGTTGGGTGCAGAACATGCTAGCTGCTATAATTATGCTTATATTTATTTGTTTTTGTGTACATTTTCAGAATACCGCGGGTCAGTTCTTCAGCAGCGGTCATACGAACAACTGGGCCGTCCTGGTTAGTATGTGTAAATGAAATTTCTAATCAACGAAGATGCACGCGCTTTCATTAACTGACCCAATTATTTCATGAACAGGTGTGCACCTCTAGATTCTGGTTCAACTACAGACATGTGGCCAACACCTTGTCTGTTTACAGAAGCGTTAAAAGGCTCGGCATCCCTGACAGGTACAATAAAATGAACTGTTGAAATAACCATAAACGTCGTTAGAAATTATTAAATAATATTGTTCCATAATTTTAAGGGTAGGCCAAGACTGGTTTATCATTTGGTGATGGTAATTTCTTGGTTAATTTATTTTTAAAGCTAATAGTGTGTTTAAAGATGTCTGGTTTTGGGAAACTATCATATACACGTGACTTGGCTTCATGATTTGTTTAATTTTCTCTCTGTTCTTTACCAGCCACATAGTTCTGATGCTAGCTGATGACATGGCTTGTAACCACAGAAATCCCAAACCAGCCACAGTATTTAGCCACAGGAATATGGAGCTTAATGTGTATGGTGATGATGTGGAGGTGGACTACAGAGGGTACGAGGTTGGTTCACACAACAACTTCAACTAAGAGTTTGAATTAAAAACGTTAACTACATGAAATCTATAACGTCTTCCTAATGTACATAACGTGAGCTGCGGGTTGGAGATTTGGTCACTGGAGTACAATCCTGGTCCTTCAGGGCCACCATCCTGCATATCTGAGGGTTCTCTGTTGCATTCAACACATGTGATTTTAATCAGCAGGTGATTAACAGTTTCCTGCAGAACCCGATGAGTTAAACAGTTTCTTGTAAAATAATTTTCTCCACTCTGAATGTGAGCCACACGGTGCTGTGTTTTGTTCTAGTTTCTGTGATACTAAATTAAACACGTGTGCTTTCTGTTTGGATCAGGTGACCGTGGAGAACTTTCTGCGTGTCTTGACTGGACGGCTTCCCCCGAGCACCCCGCGCTCCAAGCGCCTTCTTTCTGATGACCGAAGCAACATCCTCATTTACCTAACAGGTGTTTAAAGGAGTCTTTAAGTCTTTTATTAAATATTTCATGAAACCTGAACCTCTCCCCGTAGCACGGCTCTGGATGTACATCATAATTACATTTCTGCATCTGCGTCTGTTTAGCCTCATATTCTTCAGGCTGAGTTTGCAAGTATTTTTACTTAAATGCTTTTAATTGTAATGTAAATCAAAACACACTTGTAATCAATTAATGGGACATTATTGTGATGGGGGGCAAATGTATTATGTCTTGTCAGCTGAAAACCTCTGCAGCTCAGACTGGATATGTGACGGTTATTGTGTGAGATGTCATGTGCACTGTTTTCCAAAATGTTAATTTAAATCCAAGTAAATTAACTTATTATGGGATTAAAATGCTTTAGTAAAATAAGAGTTGTTTTAGGCATTATTAGGCTATTAAAGTAAATGTTTTTCTTTATAGTTGTGTTTTGAACCAAATATCCTTACATTCTCACAATAAATCCACAGAGGTTCTTATATCATCTTTATGTGATTCATGAACAGGTCACGGTGGAAACGGCTTTCTGAAGTTCCAGGACTCTGAGGAGATCAGTAATGTGGAACTGGCTGATGCCTTTGAGCAGATGTGGCAGAAGAGAAGGTAAATAACCTGGAAGGCAGCACCAGTGATTAAACAAAAATAATTCTCCTTTTTAACTTGTTTCCTTAGAGAGCCAGTTAGCTGCGTAGCATCATAACGCTGAGCCACCCGTCTTCTGGTGGAGAACTCATCGTGTAACGTTTCACTTCTAGTAGAAATGTTAAACTGAGTCAACAAAGCTGGAACATAGTGAGCACATAGTAATCAAGATAAACAAACATGTTGGTTGTAGGTTCAAATCCCTGCTGTAGGCTTTCTCCGTGGAGTCATTATGCATGCGTGCGTTTTCTCTGGGTACCCCGGTTTAATTTGTAATGTTCATTTAAAAAAATAACAGAAATTTTGGCAACCGGCATTTATTTTATTATTTAAAATCTCTAAAATATTACATTTGAGAGTAGGGGAGGAATAAGAGCAGCTAATCTCTGGCTGTGCTCGTATGATTAGGTAATAAATCTATCCTCTAATTATTTCTGCTCAGATTGTCTTGTAACACTTAGGAGTAGTGATATAAATCTAAACGATTGAGCAGGCTAATTAGGCCCTATTGTCTCTGGTGATTTTCATTGGTAATCTGTTTTAATTTGGTAATTTTGAGTCCAAACTAGATCACAAATGGTGTTCAGTGAGATCTGAAGAAGATCTAATGGGGTCTTCATGTTGGTTTTTAACTTATATTTGCTTGTTTTACCCATGTTATACTTCTTTTTGCTCCTGTAAAATTAAAGAAACTGATGTTGTTTGTTGAAGCAAGTTCTCCAGAATCCTCTACTTCGTGTTTAACTGTGATCTATAAATAACCAGCTCAGTGGCTTAGTGGTAGTGTCCACCCTGGGACTGGCAGATCACAGTTCAAATCCCGGTCAGGTCACACCAAAGACTTTTTAACTGTGGGACCCGATGCCTCTCTGCTTGACACTCAGCTTTAAGGGGTTGGATTGGGGGGTTAAACTACCAAATGGTTCCTGAGTGTGGTAGTGTCTGCAGCTCACCACTCCTCAGGGGGCTGGGTCAAATACAGAGGACACCACACCAGTATGTGTGACAAATGTTGGACTTAATTTTTAATTCAGTAAATAAGCAGGAATCTTTCTGCTACGAGGGCCTCTTATGTTCCAAACTGCTCATCAACAGAGAGAGTGTCTCTGCTGCAGCCAGGCCGCCGTCTGCCTGTTAAAAGCTCAGATGCCGATGAGAGAGTGGCACGCTCCATCTGCTGAATTACTGCCTCCTCTTTCTGATCGTCGTCGGAGCGACTTCAGGTGGCTGGGGTTGCATTCTTTACGTTTGTCCAAACACGGCAGCAATCTGTCTTCGTGGAGGAAGAACATGAGAATAGAGGTGAAATGTGTGTAGGAGTGTGAGCTGAATGGGGCTGTTGCTTTCGCTGGGTTGTCATGGTAACAGCAGTATGAAAGATGGTTTGGAGGTTTGTGTGATAACGACTTATTGGAGGAAATGGGCAAGTGTAATGCCAGCTGTGTTTTCTCTGGATTGGATTTTTATTTGAAAATGCGGTCACCCTTGTGTCTCCATCCAGGTACAACGAGCTGCTCTTCATCATCGACACCTGCCAGGGCGCCTCCATGTACGAGAGGTTTTACTCCCCAAACATCATGGCTCTCGCCAGCAGCCAGGTCGGGGAGGACTCCCTGTCGGTGAGCTCTCCTCGTTTATGAAAACCATAAAATAGGTCATCCATCACTTCCCAGATTCTCCACTGCACCGAAACTTCTGGCAGCCCCACGGAGAGCTACTTAAAATAATTAAAGGCTCTTTCCTAACAGCGGCTCATTTTCTCCTGTGGCGTTTCCGTAAAACCCTGAGAAAGTAAGTAAAGGAGCCAATTGGAGTTTAGTGGAAGCCATCGATCATCTAATTTAAGAAAATCACAACTAACTTTTTATTTTCACCAGCCACAAAACGTTTTAGAACTTCTCCCCTTCCTAATTTATATTTCCACACTAGTCACACTGAGATATGTAAACATTTAGCAGAACTCAGTCTTTGGTTATTTATTGTATGAGCTAACAGCAAGCCTAGCATATTCCTGATGCTCAGCTGAACTCTTTTTAAAAAACCTTATAAAATTTACATTGAGCTGTTGTCTTGTTTGCAGCACCAGCCTGATTTGGCCATAGGAGTCCATCTGATGGACCGCTACACCTTCTACCTGCTGGAGTTTCTGGAAGACATCCATCCAGCCAGCAAATCTAACATGAACGATCTGGTGAGAATGTCTTCATGGTAGCCAAGGATTACTGTTAGTTTTTATTTAAACAAGCAGAGTTTTAATCCCACAATCTTTGTTTTTGGATGCAAATGTGCTGAAAATAGTGTGATGGAAAGATGTTAGTTAGTTTTTAGCTTTAAAATCACTGTTTTTGTCTCTTTCCCTCTAACAAATATAGTACAAAAAACATTGTAAAGCAAACAAATATCTAATAAAAATGTACACATTAGTTAGTGAAGAATCTCCAAATTTAGTTTTTATTTGTTTCTTTCCACTCAAACTTATTTTTTTTATATTCTCAGAGATAAAAATGTGAACATGGGACCCAGGAGGTGTGTTTGTGACTTGACCCACTAAAGGTGTTTGGGGTTTGCACCTAAACATAAAGAAGACGCCATATTTGTCCCCTTAAACTTCAGGTCCAGGGTGTGAAAGAGCCAGATGAAAGTCACACAGGCCTCTCTGGACTGGTGCACACTTGAGACTGAATGTGTAAAATAGCGTCTCAGCTGTTCGGCTTCAACACACGGTGGTGAGATGGCGAGGACATGCAGCTCTTTGCTCGCTCCCCGCAACACCAACCGTTTCATCTCGGTCTTTCCTGCAGAGAACCCGCGGCCCGCTCCTCGTCTGCTGCACCAGAAGTTATTCTCAGAACACCTCACATCGTTACTCAGCGTTCTAATTACATGTTCCAGGTCTTCTGTTTCTATAGATGCACTCTTTGTTCTGGTGCTATTTTGGTGATTTAGGGATCGATATTATTGATTTCCTCAACAAAAGCGTCACGTTTTCAGCTTTTAAAAAATTCAGTCTGAAAATGAGAATTCCCTTTAAAGAAAAGGCTTTCATGTTTTTTTTTATTGCAGTTAATATTTTTTGTTTAGCAAAATGTTTTTATTTTGTAGCTTTAGGTGTGTTTGGTGTTTTAACAGCTCCTTCTAGAAATACATCAATGGATAAATTCACATATTCCAGACATAATGTTGACGCTTTCTCCTCTTCAGTTTAAAGTTTGTCCGAAGAGCCAGTGCGTTTCCACTCCGGGTCATCGGACCGACCTGTTCCTCAGGGATCCGGGAAGTGTTCTCATCACAGATTTTTTCGGTAGTGTCCGTAAAGTCGAGATCACCATGGAGGCCATACACCTAACCGACCCTATCCTACAGCTAGAGGACGGGTAAGTAAGTCAATCAGCTTCCTGCCTGTTTATTATTGTTTCTCATCTTTTATTTATTTATAAACTAATGAATGAAAACACAAATAACATCAACTTGGTGAAAAATCTGCTCAGAAAAGACAAACTTTTAGTGTTTTTGGAAGCGAGCGAACCTGGATATAAACCTTTTATTAAGGTCAGCCTCTCTGTGCGTTAATTGAAGCGCTTTGGGCCAAGTTGGTTTTACCTTGGGCTTCCGGATAATGACGCTTTGATTTTGGTTTAGGACATGTATTGATTTCTCCACTAATGATGTGTTGAGTGGTCTGTTTGCTCTGTGGGGTCCTCTACAGCTGCCTTTGGGGTAATTTAAATCCTGATTTTTCAGGGTGACCAATGACGTGATTATCAGAGGCAATTATGCTGGTCGTTTAGATAGCATTTTCTACATTTTATAACCTGTAAAAGCTCTTAAAGCTTTGCAGAACAAAGTTGGCTGCACCTGATTGGCTATGGTGCTCTCCTGTGGTGAAATGCATCCATATTGATCCACTTTAGATGCCTTATTGCTGTGATAAATGGACCGAGCCACTAGATGGCTGTAGAGCGCTATAACAACTCTTACAGCTTCATCTGCAAAATAACTAATAATTCCTGTACAAATATGTTTATGATAGTCGTTTAAAAGTTCTGAGGTTTAGTTTGTCTTTAGTTGAAGATATATTGAAAATAATGTTCTGACTTAAGGTTCTCCCCATGTTCACACACCTACACTGTTGTTTCATTAAACTGAGACTAACTGAATCACTGGAAAGAATCAAAGAGCATAATATGACCGGCAATGAATAATTAGATACAAACCTCATCATGACTTTCCTTCATTAGCTGTTTTGGCCTCAGGGTGGTTAGCCGTTGCACAATCTCCCTTATTACTTTCTTATTGATTAGGAGCAACACATTAGGTCTGCCACATCATGAAAGCACACCAGAATTGATTTGGAGCTTTCCACTGCTCCAGTTCAGTCATAGAGAGAGACGTTTCATCTCCACTTCTGATGCAAGAATCCAGCAATCCTTCCATTCTTTTGGAGCAAAGTTTTCTCGAACACCAAACGGACCGGCAGCTCCTCTCTGCTTCGAAGTACTCCATCAAAATATGCTTTTAAAGCGACTTTTTAAACTGAGCTCATTCTTTCTCTTATTTAGCTCATCGGGGTGTTTCTTTAGGTTTATTCATAATTCAGAAGTTTGCATTTGCTATTGCAGAATTCATAAACACATTTCCCATTATCTAAAATAATATTGGACGGTAACCAACGTTTGATTTATTTTCCTTATTTTAGTCCTCAGTAGAAGTGTCCCAGCCTGAGCTGCTCCTTACTTCCTATTCTTTACTGCTAGTTTTAAAGCATTTTAAGAGGTTGGAATTAATTTAAACTACACTTTCTTAAATTAAAAATGCCACTCATTCATCATTTATATTGGTAATTCTTTACAAAGTAAACAGTTAAATGTGAATTTTGTAGCATGGTGCTGAGATCTCAGCCGTGGCTCGGCGCCACGCCTGAACCTGTGTGACAGGAGCTCTGGGTGAGCTGTAGTTCAACTGTGAGGCACCTGATTCAGTCAGCTGATGAGAACCCAGATGAACTGATCCAAAGGTGTGCTTGCTGTGCTCACAAGTGGGACTGGGAGTTTTAAATGTTCATGGTGATCGTCCAGGTTTAGAGCCACCGTTTGGGTATTTAGTTCATGAGTGATGGTGTAAAAAATGGACCAATGGATGAAGCCATTGATGGTGAAGGAGAAGCTGAGCCAAAAAGCAAAGCTTCTGGTTTCCATGCTTCACTCGTGGTCATCAGATCTGGATCATGGGAAGATCCTGGCTACAAGAGCTTCCCTGTGGGTTGTGTGAGCTCAAATGCTGCTCCTCCTCATCAAAAGGAGTCAGATGGAAGATGGGTTGAGTTCCCTCTCTCTGGAGGTTGTCCAGGCACCTTTCACTGGGAGATCCCCTCGCTGTTTGGGAACATGAAGGTCAGACCTGGGCGCTATGTTCGACCTGGACATTCTCTCACCTTGTCAGAAACCAGTTGTCAATAACCTTGTGGTTAGGCTTGACTGGATTAAAATTTGACGTCCATATTTAAATCAGTGGCACACTCTTTCTAGGGCTGTTCGATTATGGCAGAAATGATAATCACAATTATTGGGACTGAAATTGCGATCTCAATTATTTAAGACAATTTTTTAAATTATTGTTAATTTTAGTAGTTTGTTTCATTATTCAGTCATAAAATTGCTCAGGGTACAATCAGGGCAAAAGTAAATTAGAAAAAGAAAGAAACAAGATGATCACTAAAACAACTCCTGAGTCCTAGTACACAAAGTCCAATATAATAGCTCATCATTTATGACCCAAAGAGCTGAGGTTTAACTCATTTAAGCCTGACCAGTACGGCCCCAAACATCCATCCAGTATCTTGCAAATACTGGCAGCAAGAATCATACTGTGGCATTTAAAACAAATAAAAAACATCTAAACATATGTTTTAGTTACGTTCACAGAATTTTGCATAATATTTATTTAGTCCTGTCAAGCAGTGCTGTAGGGGAGTGTACACTTGCAACGTGTCCTCAGAGACATCATTTATCAGCAGGAACTTATTTCTATCCATTTCTACCTTTTTTTTATAAACAATTTATTTACAGGTCCCATCAGTTAATGTAATAATTGTCCCAGCCGCAGCGATCGGAGGTGTGCTGCAACCCCCCACCCGGTGTCACAGCAGGCAAGGGCAAGCTGTGCGTTTAGCGCACCGCACACACACATTTAGCCGTTTTTAGCGGCTCAGGAGCCTGCAGGTACAGTGTGTGTCACTCACTGTGGCTAATTCAAGAAGGAGCTGGCTCTGAGAGCCGTTTCTTTTGCGACCAATATCACTACATCATTCCCTTTCCTAATGTCCTGAAGGACTGGTCTGGAGCGCAGGTGGAGTGTTTTGCTAACGTGCAGGAAATGCCGACGACAGTTATCCAGAAAGTAGCTAAGGGTTATCAGAAATGTTTCTGAGTTTATCACTGAGTACTTTTAAAATTTGAAAAGTCAAGACGGGGGTCTGAAAAGCTGTTGGAAATTGCAACAAAGTCACTAAGTTGGCAACACTGTGGGAGGAGTGCTTTATTTGCAACTTGGAGCAGCGCAAGAGGGAGGAGCAAATAATCGGCTTGTTTTGTTTTTAATAATCGTTCAAAAGTCAAATCGTAATTGGGATTAAAATTCGATTAATTGAGCAGCCCTACTTTTTCATTTTCGTTGCTTAGCCAAAATCAAGCCATTGCTGTCAAGGACCCACTTGGAGCGAGTGCTCCATGCCTTTGTGATATCAAGGCTGGATTACTGTAACTCTCTGTACGCTGGGTTGGGTCCAACTGCTCTTACACGTCTGCAACTGGTGCAGAACAGTGCAGCCAGCTTTCTGACGGGGTCCAAGAAATGGGACCATAGTATTCCTGTGCTGGCAATGCTCCGTTGGCGTCCGGTCTCATATCGGGAACAGTATAAACTCCTTTTGTTTGTCCTTCAGACCTTTCAGGACAGTGCCCCCCTCCATACCTTGGGGATCTGTTAAAAAGGCATGTACCCTCAAGGTCATTGTGCTCTTTGAATCAGTTCCTGCTTACCGTCCCTCGCTCCGGGTCTTGGACATGCGGGATAGGGCATTTTCTGCTCTAGCCCCGTCCCTCTGGAACAAGTTACCCCTAACATTAAAGAGCAAGTCACCCCCTACAAGAAACTTACTCCACTCCCACTTCATGTTTGAAAAATGCAATAAATGCTGTTGGCTGGCAGACCGAGAGGACGGAGCTGCTAACAAATACACACAAACAGGCTCATAGTAACATCATGGTGCACCTCTTAGCCAATAGTGATGGCAGATTTAAATTCAAATGTAATGCAGAGTTTTTACCTGACGGCGGCGCAACACTGACAGTTTTAGGTAGAATATTGAAATTTGAACTAAGATGCCCTAAAGTGCAAAATTAGTGACTTCACATGTCTACAGCATGATTAGACACTCATTAATATAGTTTGTCTGTAAAAAAAAAAGTTGATGTGGGGGTGACTTGCTCTTTAAACTGTCTCCATCACTGCCTGCTTTTACCGTCTGGCGTACACCTAATCTGTTCGGTGACTGGTTTTATCTGTTTTTAATAGTTTTCTTTTATTGCTCGCTTTTTACTGATGTCTTGTTTTCTATGTTTTATTTGTGCTGTGTTCAGCGCTTTGGGTCCCCCTTGAGGATGACGGAAAGCGCTATACAAATAAAAGTTCGATTGATTGATTGATCAAACACCTTGGGATCCCCCAGGAAGAGCTGGACAGAACAGGGATGCCAGTTTTCCTCCTGGACCTGTTCTCAGTGACCCAGCCTCTGATAATCAGTTAGATGGAGGCTCTCCAAAAGCTCCCTGGTTCGATAGCCAGTCAGCTTCATCGATGCTAATTCATCAGCTCTTTTTGTGCTTGTTTACAGAAACTTTGTTTCAATTCAAAGTAATCACTTTATTTTTGTTTTTCCAGCTTTAATCAAGTTATTGGGTATAGCCCAAGCAGTAAAAAAGTCTTTATCTTAATTTTTATTATAAAATAAGTGTATTAATGAGCTATAAGGAGTATGGCGGCTCATAATAATCTGTGTGTAATCACTAAGTGATCGTTCATCAGGGCGTTTGGGATCTGTGACCGTTTCTACAGTTAAATAATAGTGTTTCATAAGACCTGAAAATAGGTTGAAGAGTGCTGCCGGACTCCCCGCAGAGACGAGATCACATAGATCCTATTAAACAAGCTGTTATTAAATATATTGCTCTGGTCTGCTTTTGTCAGCTCGCTCAGCCAACCAGAGGAGATGGGTGGAAACGCTGGACTCCAACTCGGTGTGGAGTGTGTTTCCACTTCTTTTGTCCTGCAGCTTGGGCTTCCATTATCTGAATAGCTCTTAATGGAGAGGACGTTT